AGATCTTTGCAAAAGGACATCAAAGCATTTTTTAGACACACATGTACAGACACATCTAAACGGTTCTTCACATCATACGCAAATCTCAATGACGCACCTAGCACACATCCCGACGACCCAAGTGATATGAGCTGTGTGCTGAATCTCGCCCCCCCCCCCCAAACAATCCCAAATACACAACAACCCCCTCCCCCCAAACAATCCCAAATACACACACAAGAAGCTTATGTGTCCCCTTGAAACAACACGACGTGCATTCAGCGGTTCGTTCTCAATGACTCTGATAAGCTTACCAAAAGTCTCTAGACCAGACCCACGAAACGCTTTGCAATGACTTTGAAACAGCTCGTCGTCTTGCAAGGCATTTCTGAATGTACTATGAAACATCTCAAAGTGCAGGATCAACTCTCCAATCTAAACCTGCCTTCAAGATCTTCAAGCCTCACACATTGACGCTGGATGTCTTTTTGCGTTGCAGTACCTGCACAATTGATGTAGCTAGCGAACGCGCAGACTTCCCCAGAAACCGCTGTTCGCCACCAGTGCCCCTTTCTCTCCGCTTGACTCATTCGTGAGGCCACAGGCGTGGGCTTCCGGACAGCCGAGCGTGGAAGGAGGAGTTGTTTGAAGGGAACCTAAGAGCAATGGCCTCCAACCTAGTAGCAATGGCCTCCAACCTAGTAGCAACGGCCTCCAACCTAAGAGCAATGGCCTCCAACCTAAGAGCAATGGCCTCCAACAGCAGGATTCAGAGATATCCTTTGCTCATCATGGACACCTCCGGGCCCACAAGGTTTATTAGGTTGGAGGCCATTTGTATTGGGTAGGGGGGGGCAGAGCGGCCTTTTAAAAAGTAATGTAAACAAGTTCTGATTCATTCTGGCAGAGCCCGTCGTGTGTCTGTCATATGGCTAGAATTCCTACCACCCAGGTTTGGTTTGGGGATGAACGTGACTGAGAAACGCTTGTTTGTTTCGGTCTGATTTCAAGTCTGTTCGCAGAAAAACAACTCCAGCCAACGTTCTAGTCTGACCGAAAGAAAAGGCATTCTGAATGCTTGGATCTTCCGACTCACCATGCAGGCTGAGTATGGGAGGCATGGGATGTCTCCTGGATAAGAAAACGAGGGAAAACGATGGAAAGGACGTGGAAGACGGGGCCAAAGGGTGGATGTGAGCCATGGAAAGGCGGATTTCCCCAATGGAAGAGCCTTTTCTAGTCAAAAACACTCAAACACCAGTCGGATTTCCAACCTGCGGTGTTTTGCCAACAGTTTCAAATTCCAGCGGCACAGAAAACACACCGGTCACACTGAGCGGTGTTAGCGCAGTATTTTGGCATTCTCAAGTTGCAAACAGATTTCTGACCGATTTCCAGCGACCAGGTCTGCAGAGCCGCCACTATGTACTGATTAGATTCGAACACCAGAAAAGGGGCAGCAAGCAGGGTGACCCAAGGTACGAGAATCGCCTTGAAATATTTCAATTCATACACTAGCTACCAGGTTTTTACAAGCCTAAGCATTCATTGGGGTCAATTCACTCACCATGGGCTGGACAGTTTTTAGACTGAAAGCGAGGCTTGTGGAGGATTCCCACACAAGAGGTACTGTAATCAGTGTAGTGTAGGCTACATGACTTCCTCCGAACATCAAGAGAGCTGGGTGCCCTGGAGAAGGTGCCCGAGTGCCCAGCAGACCCTCAACTGGCCCCGGGCATGGAACGACCAGGCTCTCCATGGCTCTCTCTTTGACACCGGCTGGGACACTTCTTGAAACGAAGGACCTCAGCTACGATTCAGGTATCGCGATCTTCTTCATCCTTGGCTTCTTCGCGTTGATTGGCTATTCCACCAACTGGATTCCGCCGCACGGCACGTGAGACGGGAGTTGCCAAACACGGCCCGCGGAGGAAGAGAACATCAGTGTCCTTATCCCAACTGAGCCCCTCATTGAGCCCTCCACAATGTGAGTAGCTGAAGCAGCTGAAGCAGCTGAAGCGACGGAGTTTCCCACGAGACCCGGAGATCTCGTCCTGGAGACCCGTCCGGTCGTTCATACAATCGCTTCCAATCTGTGAGGTTCGTCTCGACATTGGTTCTTACGGGTTCTTTCAAAGTTCTTTCTCTTGTGATGTCTCAAAGTTGGACGACAACCCGAAGAAAGGCAACTCACAAAACAACCCGGGTGGGAGTCAGATGGTGCAGGTGCAGGGGGCCGGGGAAAAACCCACACAAGACCGATGAAGACCAATTGCCACACATGGGCCTCTTTTTAAGGATTTGGGTGAGCGCATGTGCTCGCCCACAAAGACAATCGCCTGCTGCCCACCGTTCTAACAAGTGCATCGCTACTAGCAACAAGTGCATTACTACTCGTAGCAAATAACTACTAGTAACAAGGCACCTTCCAACTAGTAACAAGAAGCTACTAGTAGCCTGGCATTACTACTAGTAGCAAGAAGCTACTCCCTATGTTTTATGATTTATCCCTATGTTTTCAAGGTGTTTGACTGGAATACCCCGTCAGAACACCGTAGGAGACCAGTATTAAATGACAACCACCCTTCTTTAATGAACGTATGGCTAGTGACAACTTGTGGCGGCCAGTGACTGTCCGATGCGTAGGCTCAACTATCCGTATGTGGCGGGTGTCGGCTTCCTGTTCCTCTTCGCCTACGTATTGCTCATTGGAACGTTGGGTGCTTGGTGGCCGCGACTTGGACTTGTTCAGTTGCTTTTCTTTGTTTTGTAGGACAGTTTGTGGATGAAGAAAGGCAACTTGAGAGCCTGTGGATGACAAGATCGTACAAGTTCTACATGATCGTTGTGTTGGCTTGGGATGTGTGGACAACAACCCAGATACCGCAAAAGGCTTACTTTGCTCCGCATCTTGCTACTGTGTGTCCACCCCTGACGAAACATGAAATATGTTCTGCTCAAGACGAGGACTGGTGCAGGCATGTGTGGCGGCGCCATGTTCCTGTTCTGCCTTTGTCTTTTTATAACCATGGGCAACATGAACAACTGGTGGCAGAAACCCGGCAGCAGTTCCAAGTGTTTTGGAACACGATGTGAAGCATCCAGTCAGCACAACTGGTATTTCTACAATAGTAGGGTCAAGTCATTGTATTGATATGCCAGTGAAGAATTATGAGTCTGATGATTTGAGATCTCTAACCCCACTACTGGAAGGAGACAATTGGGTCATCTCGAACACTGTCCAACTCGATGGGATGGCGAGAAATGTGTCGTTTGCAATGCAACTAGTAACAATTACTAGGGGTAGGAGCAAGGACGCTACGTTCGGGGCTCCTGGCATCACTACTAGCAACAAGGTGCATCGCTGCCAGTAACAAGAAGCTACGGTTTCTGTTTTGACGAGGCCCGCTGGTGCAGCACCCATCCTCATTGGTGCAGGGCCAATGGCTCTGCGGGGCGCTGCGCCGGCCAACGCCTCTGAGCTCATTGTGGCCGTTCTTCCGGAAACTGGTGGATATGTAATCCCCGCTCCTTTTTGAAAACACTATCCTATCAAGGGAACTCAACCTTGGCAAACGGACTTGTCAAGTTTCGTTTCATTGCGTTGGTACTTGTAATTTGCAAGCCACTACTTGTGTGGCCTCGAAGCGGGACTTCCTGGACCGGTGGTTGGCAAAGCAACTTGCCCAAGCATCAGCCGCAGACCAAGCACGGCTCCGTCTGCCAGAGCCAGCTGTGATGTTTCCAGCGCTGAACAATGGTGCATCTCTGCAAGCTTTTCTGCAGCCGACCCTGGCGCATAGGAAACCATGTTGGCCAACAAGACTCTGCTCATCCCATGGCGCGAAGAGGCGCCGCGAGCAAAGTCAGTCTGCTCATCCGGCGCGTTGCGCCGCCGAAGGCTTAGGTAGGGAGCTCCGACACATTCCTCAGAGTGCAGGTAGAACCTCTGCAAACCATGCCTCACTCAGTGTGCAGTGACCAGCTCAACATGCCTCAGAATGTCTCAGAATGCAGTGACCTAGCTCCAGCGGCTCCATGTCAGAGAGTGCGGTGAACTGCCTGACCCACTCAACCCGCTTTCCAGCCGTAAACATCACGTGCGAACCAACCCTATCCACTTAACGCCAAAGAAACCTGGCCTCCGCTCCAGTGGAGAGTTTGAGGCTTCGTTTTGAAACATAAATATAATGAATCCAATGGCTAATTCAGCCCTGGTGTTTGCGAGGGGGACAGCCGCTCCAAAGTGTGGTGGGATACCATTTTGGTTGGAAATCACCATGCAGCATATATGACGGGGACCTACAGCGGAGGCATGCCTTAAGCACAGAAGGTTGTCATTCTTCCAAGAGAAATTATTAGCCCCAGGGACCAAGAAGAGAGTTCTGGCAATTGTTGGCTGTATGTCATAGTCTTCTTTCAAGTCAATCAAATACCGCCACATGTGTTCAACAGGTCATGCTGCTGCTTTTGGTTATGCAGAGTTGTTGCAAGTTGCTTTCAACAGAATCATTTCTTGTTCGCATGCCTTTTGTAGTAATTCTCGATTTATTTGCCATATGATTTTGGAAAGGTACCGTGGTCTCCGGAGTCTCCGGGCGCTTAGTTTTGACACCCATTTTCTTGGGCATGTGACGCTTGGAGCTTGCAGCATGTCGGCCATGGAGTTGCCATGGTCCCTAACGTTATGCAACCCCTCTCGATAAAGTGTGCCATGGAGTTCCACATGAAGTTTCAGCGGTGTACCGGGAGGGAGGACATCGCTAGTAGGTTAGAGGCCATTGCTAGTAGATTGGAGGCCATCGCAAGTAGGTTGGAGGCCATCGCTAGTAGGTTGGAGGCCATCGCTCTTAGGATGCTGGCCATCGCTCTTGGGATCGAAGGACGAAGGCCGTCACTCTTGGGTTGGAGGCCATCTCTCTTAGGTTGGAGGCCATCGCTAGTAGGTTGGAGGCCATCACTAGTAGGTTGGAGGCCATCGCTCTTAGGATCGAAGGATGGAGGCCGTCAC